GCAGAAGTCGGTGTAGATCCGCTTGAAATGGCATGCACATACTACACTCACTTACTCACGCCATCTTTCCATTTTTTGCTCTCGTATGTCCACTGTGTGTTTTTTTTTGTTTTTTTTTTTTCTCTGTCGCCCATAGAAGGCGAGGTCCAGCCCTTCTCCGCTTGCCATGTGGCCATCATCCGTGTATCTCTGTGTGCTGTCTTCTGTCAGACGTGGCGAGGGCTCTGGCTAGATTGACCGCGGCCACCGGCCCGGCTGGGTGTGCGATTCACAGGCGTCGGATCACCGGATTGGCGAGGAGGTGTTCGTGAAGGGCCAGCTGCATTGCCACCGACATTGTCCGCCGCTGCAGTGTCTGCAGCATTATCCTCAATGTCCCGAATTAGCCGATTTATCAAGTACTCCGATGGAACGTGATGCTGACATGCCACGCTTGGGCTATATGGACTGCCATGTCCTGCCGGGGATGACGAGGACCCACCTGCTCCTCCGGCCACGTCTGACACTGGTGGCGTGGTGGCAGCCCCCCCCCTCTGCGTAGGAGAAGCACTGGTAACGTGGTCGGCGGAAGTGATGGGTGACAAACCAGAAGACCCAGCACGACAGTTGTCGCGTGGAGCTCCATCAGAGTGGAAAGACAAATGTTGTGCACAATGTGGAGTAGATGAGTGCCCTTCCGCCATTGCAATGGCACGCCTCCTTAGACGCTCCCGCAAACTGTGCTCATCTTCACCACCGACCCCGAAAGAGAAACCACCAATGGGCTGAATCAGTGTACAGAAGCCAGGCAAGGGTGTCCCAGAATCACTTTCTGGGACATGTGTCACCCTGCCCGTCACATCATGCGGTTCTGGAACCTGTGACAAAGCGGGGTCTGATGATGGAACCCCACTCCCGACAGGCGTGCCCACCTGTCCCAGTGTCCCCAAAGGCCGTGAAGACGGGACTTGTGTACCCACACCGTCTTTGAAGGGCCACTGGGTTTCGCTCCCTGTCCCGTTCAAGGACCCACAGTCCCAACTATATGCAGAGGGAAGCTGCGTGTACATTCCTGCTTGTCCAGGTGCAGGCGCTGCAGGCGGTGCATTGTCTGGTCCCTGTGTTACGTACTGGGACTCCGTATACCCCCAGTCCTGTATGCAGGACAGTCCCGCAGGATCACTGGCAGAGGCCATGATCACAGAGAGATTCTGAAATGGGCGGAGATGTGTCACGTGACGCGTCAGGGACAAGCAGCGAACAGTGAGATGACTGGCCGAAGGAGGAGAACCGGGAAGGAGATGGCGGATGAGGAACGCAGAAGGCCAAACGGCATGGGGATGTGCACGACAACATAACGGTGGAGTATGAGAAACGGGCCGTGAAACTCCCGACTTTTCAGAGGGCGCTACGGTTGCAAGGCCGGATGGAAAAGGCCGACTTGCCGCGATACCCCATACGTTTCCACATCTCTTGCCGACTTTCCTCATTGGGAAAGAAGGAACGTCAATAGCTCCTCAAAAAAACACGGTCAACATGTATGTGGTCTGTTTCTCGGGAGTACAACAGACACCATACCATGCACGTACTCTTTATGCAAGCCCGAATACGTACGGAAACCTCTATGTGCCCAAGTTCGTGGGACGTCCCGTTATCCGCGGCCCTTGAACAGTCAGAGGCAAGTTACATTTCGTTTTCAGAATGACGGACGGCCCCTTTCTTCCTATTTTCCTTAAAAAGAAAAGGGCTGTTTCGATGCAATACCACCACCTCACGACCTCCTTAATATTGCGTCCCCGTCACCGGCCTAAGAATGAAAGAAATTGGTGAAAAAAAATAGTTCCTCTGCCTCTCATTGGGGGAGAGAGAATGATATCGGAAGTAGGGCCTCCAAATCTCGTCCGCCGTTCAGATCCCCGAAGTTGGACGGACAATATGTGTCACCTTTTGCCACACGTGATCGGAAACCAAATGGCCGCGTGGTAAAACGTCTGTAGTGGGACGTAGCCCCAGGGGCCATGTTAATCTTCTCTGTATCGTTCCAATTTTAAAGGATGTCCCAAGGGACAAACTTTGGCGATTTCGAATTCTAGTCTCCAGTGAACCGAAATTCTGGAAAGAAAATCAGGAATGTACCTTTGGTCACACTGCATTCGAGAAAACAAAAAAAAAGGGCTTAGGGCAGGGAAAAAATGTTTGTGCCAAACTGAATTCATATCTCGATCACAGTCACTGTCACCCAAGGAGGAGTGATGTTTCATGCTGGACAGGTGTGGGGCGTCTTTTTGTTTTTCGATTCATACCAATAGGCTTGGTGGGACTGGTGCTTTAAACCACCAGTACCTTTCCCCGCCTGGGATCTGGGGCGTGGCGGTTAACACGGAGGCCCGATTCGGCCTCCGACGTCGACCAGATCCATCGGCCGCGCTTGGCGCGCAGCGCCCACGGCCGATGTATGAGAAAGGTACTGATGGTTTAAGCCACCAGTACGTTTCCCAGCCAAAGAATAAAATATGCGGCTTGCATCCGCGGCTTTCGGGGCTCGGCCCCCGGAGCAAAATGGCTGCGGCGCCAGCCAAAAGGAGGCCCATGCCAGTTCTCTTTTCTTTTGGTGGGCAGGGAGTTTCCAGCCCCGGAGAATAGTGCCTTGGAACTACTGGTGGCTTAAAGGGGGTGGCCCCTAACATTATTGCATCCATCTGATTCAATCAGGATTCAAAGTCATGACCTGTTCATTAGCAGTTCCATGTGTACAGATACTGTGTACCATTCAGCCGTATGCGCCTGGGTGAAGGGGAGGCGGGGTGGAGGGTCTAATTCCTATGCAGTCTCACCGAATTTGATCGCGTGACCTTTGCACCACTAAGGCCATATCCAGACTAGAACTTTCCAGACTGAATCTGACCACCTTTGTTATCAGATACATTGAGGAAAGCCCGACCCTCCGTCTTTACCCGAATAGAACGCCCGGTCATTATAGCTGCATCTGGACAGAGAGTTGCCCTGAATACAGCTATAATGACTGGGCGTTCTACTCGGGTAAAGACGGTAGTGTGATTATGGCCTGAGTCGAGGTGTGGTGTACCATTCTTTTTCCGTTTTTTTATTAGAAAGGGCGACGACCTTGAGATATCATCATTGAAGTGACCAGCCCCAGGTAATTCAGAATTGTTTATTCCATTCTTCTAGGCCCATCAGGATTCAAAGTTACGTCTGTGTTGGAAAAGCTCATCGGTAGTGTGGCATACCATTCGATTCCAAATCAGGTACACAAAATCATCAACGTTGCCTTGTTGCGTTTTCATGCCCTGTTTCTGAAAGTGACGAAGTATCCCCCCCCCCCGCTGGCAACCCCTTTTTTTTTCAACCCCCTTCTTCGCGTGAACGTGAATGGTAAAAAAAAAGAAAACACGTCCGCTCAGTGGGTGGAGCACCGGTTGGAAACGCGCTTTGTGGTCTGAGGTTGTGGGTTCAAAACTCCGTGCCCTCGTGCATGGACACCGGCCGGCGTTGACCAATGCACCGCCATTCACATCCCCCCCTTGGGCTTACACATGGTAAGGATTACAGACACTGCCTGCACACCACCCAAGGGGCATAGTCCATGGTTGTAGTATGCTGGTGGCGGGCTTTGGGAGGGCTGTTGGAGTGCTTTGTCGGTGGTTAGGTGTGATGATCAGGGTCATGTCTCGTGTACTTCCCATGGGGGGAGGCGGGCTGAGTTTCAGGTGTAGCTTTAGACAGGGCCCTTGGCCTTTAACAAACGTGGGTGGACAGCAGATATGCTGTGTAGGGATAGAGGCCCTGTCATTGAGACAGCTTTTTTGTCAGTATGCCCTTGTCTGTGCTTGTCCCATGGAGGTACTGTTGCTTAGTTTCCCGTCCAGCTGGTACACTCACGGTAGTCCATACAGACACTACTCTGCGGCCGAGGCGTGTGGGCCATCTCTAAACACCCACTTGAGTAGTAGTAGGGGCTTGGTATTAGACACATTTGATTCCCGAGGGCGGGCTTCCCCTTTATTTCTTACGATGACTAAGGGCTGTACGTCATCCGGGATGGTATCTGTGGGAACTCCCATTGAGGGTTCAGCTGGGGTATGATTCCTTTGAAAAGTCCCTGGCTAGGAGTATCAACTATCGGTAGAAGGGTGGGTGGGATGTCGCATCGATAGTAGAAGGGTGGATAGATGCCCATAGAGTCTGCTTGATGTGACACAAGAGGGGGTATGACTACCTCTACAGGACCCCTCCTGTGTCCGGGTCATCCTCTGGGACCCTCTGCTTGCCAGGGAACCGCGTACTCAGGCGTACCCGGGGGCATAGCAGGGTTGGTCCTTAGAGGTGTCCCTATGGTGAGCTCCCTGGAAGGGTTGCAGGTAAGTGTAGTCTATGCTTGGCCATAGGGGTTGGCTAGGGTACACTGCTGTAGGGCTTGACTTGTGATCTGCTATGAGATCAGACTAGGGAAAAAAATGATATTCCCGGGGGAAGACAG